TCACTTCAACCAAACTGTGACAGAGGAATAATCATTCTGCACTTACTTTATCATGGACGCACATGAAGACAAATAAAGTCCACACATTGATGAGACAGAGTGCAGTTAGGAGTCCAGAAATACCTGTGTGTCTTCCTACTAGAAAAAGTCCCACAATGCTCTGTGGCTATGATGTCATATTTCTGGGCCTTTTTTACACCTTCAGTCCCTTTTTGCATTTTATATCTTCCTCCTCTCTTTTGTCTGCAAACAGGAACCACCGTTCAAACATGCACAGCTCTGCCTTTATTTGCTTTAAACATAACATACTGTGAGTTGTTCTGACACACTGTAGTGTGACTTTTTAACAGGTGTTTCAACATGGTTTATTATGAACTTGTTGTAACATTATTTTGAGTCTTTCTGACACACTATACTGTGACTCTGTGACTTGTGTGGACGTCACATTTTAGCACTTATTTAATGTTTCACTGAGCACTTTTCAATCTGCACAGTGAAGGATTGCTCCCCCCTGATCTTCATCAAATTATTTCCAAATTATATGAATTTAGTGGGAGGATCCACCTGCACAAAGGGTCCTAACTTTTAAATTTTCACTATAATTTTGAGCATAAGTTATGACACCTAAACAAAATTTCTTTTTGTTGCCCATGTTAAACTGGTTTCTTTTATGTTGTATGTCCATCTAATATTATGAATATTTTATTATTCTATTATTTTATTATAATTATTTTATTCGACACACTATACAGTGACTTTTTAACATTTTTTGACATGCTGTGCTTTTCCTGACCTTCAATAGTTCTAGTCTCTCTGACATAGTATTCTAAATCTTTTTTGGACATGCAAAACTAACTTTTCAATAGTATTTTTTATTTTTTTTTAAACATATATTTAATTTTTGCCTAAAAACCTTGAGAACAAAAAGTCACAATATCTTTGAGATGATATTTACATAGAGGCAGAAAAATGGAGAAATGATCATTTGATTGTTGACAGCGGTTATCCAACTGTCCTGCACATCACGACACACTGATCAGTCAATGTATTGTCCAGCTTTATTGCACAAACATGTAAATGATGCATATTATTTATCCAATAATACATAATAAACCCCTTCAAACGGATGCTGACACACTTCACCGTCCTCATCTGTGATCTGATGATCCTCCTTTGTGCACGAGTGTCTGTGCAGTCCAATAAAAGCACATTCCAGCCCAGGCAGAGCACATGAAGCATCTTAAAGCATTTTATTTATTGATGTAAATATGTTTACTTCCATATGATTGTCTGTAAGAGAATGTTTCTTTGACCAGCACATGATAATGAGACATCACACGTACAAGAGACCGTTCCAAGCAGTGCTGGGTGAAGCAAAACAAACAAACCATAATACTGCACAGTTGTGAAACATAACTTAAAATAAAACAGTCCTTCAAAACCACTTGATTAAATCATACAGACACATACACAGGTCCTTCATCGCAGCTTTAACAAAACAGCAAAATAAGAATCAGTTGTATTGTAAACCAATGCCAAAACCAACACCGTACAATGTCCATCTCCATCATGAACATTAACTGAATGCTCACGTCACATTTTACAATCAAATGAAACGTACCGTTGAGTGGTTCCAACAGAAACACACAGATGTGCATCAACTGTGAAGGCACATGTGGCTTTGGCAAATTAAACACCCGCGTTTCCCCTGATGGTTTCTGCAGCCGTGGCAAGACGTTGTGGCCAGTTTGGTTCCATGTCTGTCTACGTACTGATGTTAAGACACTTTGTTGTACTCAGCTTTCTAGATGTCGTGGCGAGGGGTGCAGCGGTATGCTGGTTTCACGGTATGGCATGATATGAAAATTGGCGGTTATCATACATTTGCTTATCTACAGTGTTAAAAAATAATTTGCTTTACTTTAAGGCGTTTGCTCAACAAAAATCCTCCATGTTTGTTCCTTTAAAGGAGCAGTGTGTACAGTGTGGTTGAAACGGGTAAAGACACTGAATAAAGAAGTTTCATGTTAACACTGATGTGTGTCCTCTATGCTGTTTGGCATGTCGCAAACAGGCTGCTCACCCAGCACCTGCTATGTGTGCTCATGTTTCTCTGATAACTTACTTCGGATCCAGATGTTCAGGAGGTTTTTACCGAAAGCCGAATCATCAGCAGAGGTCTCTTCCTCTTCAAAACAATCAGACCAGGTGATTTAGACCCGTCAAAACACTGAATAAAGTAATTTCATGTTACAAATCAGTGTTTCTCTGATGCTGTTTGGCACGCTGGAGCTGGCTGTTAGCTTTACATCTGACAATGTGTGCTCAGCTTTTTTCTCTGATAACTTCAGATCCAAATGTGCATGAAGTTTTTACCGGGAGCCGAATTATCCACAGAGGTGTCTTCCTCTCCAAAACAGACCAGCTGATTTACCCCAGTAAAAACACTGAATACAGCAGTTTCATGTTTTAAAATCAGTGTATTTCCAATGCTGCTCGTTGCGCAGGTCTTGCTGACGTGTAAATGCAACAACATGAGGTCCCTTTCTAGAGTCAGTGTTTGGTTTGTCTGTTCTGGGCTACTGTAGAAACATGGTGGTGCAACATGGTGATCTGTGTAGACGAGGACCTGCTCCCTGTGTAGATATAAACGTCTCATTCTGAGGGAACGAAAACACAATGATTCTTATTTTCAGCTGATTAAACACTAAAGAAAACACACTCATTATATTATATTCCATTTCTGCAAACATATCCCCCTGAATCCTCCACACTGGAGCCGTCAGGATCACTGTAACCGATCATAAAAACTGTGTAACACCATTTACTGTCGTACCGTGAAGCCATGATATTTTCTGAGACGGTTATCGTACCGTTAAAGATCTCATACCGCTGCAGCCCTCGTTGTGGCAGTCGAGCTGCTGTATTGCTTCTGTTTACACACAGACATCAGCAGAGGTGATCAGATCCAGGTGAACAAACACACACACACTTAATTTAAGGCACAAAAGGCGAATTCCCTTAACTCTTTAAGCAGCCTGAGGAAACAATCCTGAATAGAAGAAGGCACGAGGGAAACACTAAAGAAACTAGTCGACACGCTTGAGGAAGCTGATTGGTTGCGTTAGAAGCCCTGAACTGTGACCCGATGATGACAATGACGCTGACTGAGCTTCATCTAAAGCTGGGAGCAGGCTGGGAGAGGAACACGTGCCGAATGCTGGTTTATTTGTCAAGTTTGTATTGTTTTATAAAAGTGTAGCTGGTTGGTAAAATATATATCTAGCAAGCAATCTATGGGATCTTTTACCCGCCGTAAGCAAAGGATGAAAAGGTTAGTTAATGGAATAAAGTGGATCAAGTTTTTTAAAATACTGTCTCACAGCAACCAGGTCAACAAAGCCCATCCAGAAACTATTTTCCAGCCACAGCATCGGTTATTAAACACATTTTTCCAAGTGCCTAAAGAGGTACAAGTTTTTTTTCTTCTTTTTATCCGAACACAGTGTACCAGAGTTTAAACAGGCTTTGGTCTTTGAGCGCTGCCACTCTGCTGCTACAGAGGCACATGACGTAAACTCCACACTGGGAGTCTGGACTTTTACTTGGTCGACCAGACTTCAGGTCCGTTGTACACGTTGCAGTCCACAGATGAAACCACATGCCGCAGGTAAAAGCACAATGAGCGCAGAGAAGAGAGGAAAGAGAGAGACAGGAAGGAAAAGTAGTTCCAGGGGTTGCGTTTGCTGTCACCTCTTCTTCACCTGGGTATGGGAGGAAGAGGAGGAGCTCCTCTCTCCTTTTTGCCAGAGCCTGGAACAAAAGCAAAGACAGAGAAGTTAGTTTCTTAGATTCACAAAGGAGATTTCATTTTCGTCCACAGGGTGGAGCTGTGTCACAGTGTGACTGAGGTCGTCTCACACAGCCAGACCTACAGTATCTCAACGCTCTGTTTCAATGATCAAAAAGTCTGACAACAATAAAGCCAACATTTGGGGCTGATCTGATGCAGCCAGCAGATATCCAGACCAAGACTTATTTCTCTGTGCACCGATCATTTTGATTCACAAACAGATAGCTACATATGAATGCAGATACATTTCTAAACTACAGTTGTCGCTTCATGCAAACTAGTCAAGTTGCAGTTATGGTTCCCGTCCATGTCTGTGAAAACATGAATGCTTCACACACTTAATTTGTTGCAACAGATGGTTGTACTGTAGGGTGGAGACGCCACACAAATTAAGCAACAGATCAACTGGCAAAACTGAGCATGGTTTCTAAAACTGAGGGCAAGTTAGATTCAAGACTTTTTAACGCCACACAGAATCAAATTAAAGACCAGTTTTACAAAAAACAAAACTGAAGAAACAAAAACATGAAGCGACATCAGTGACTCTGGGTTCAGGACAATTTAGCCCAAATGTTGTAACATAAAACATAACGTTTTTTGTCTCATGGTGGAGAGGAGGGTGGAGTAGAACTGGGTACTACGTGGCGTTAGGAGGCAAATTTGTGTTTCTCTCTGTCTGTAGGATTCCACTGCTTTGATTCCCATTGTGCTGAGTTAGAATTTTTTTTGCTTAAGACGTAACGAGCCTCGTGCAGTGCCGTGAACCGGCTTCAGCTGTGTTGCTAAATATTCTATACAATCAGCACAGTTTCAAGATTAGAGTCACCAATTCAGTATCTGACCAAATGTCTCCCCTTCTGTTCCTGAGATATGACGTTAAAACATGATGATGTCACAGTCAAGCTGACCTTTGACCTTTTGACCTTCATTATTTTATCCTGTTAGACATTTGTGTCAAGTTTTATAATATATATTCAATTCTGAGATATGGCCAAAACATTGTTTGTGAGGTCACACTGACCTTTGACCACCCAAATCTAATCAGTTCATCCTTGACTCAAAGTGGATGTTTGTGCCACTTTTGAAGAAAGAAAGTGTTCATGAGAATGAGAAGAATGTGATGTTGCAGTGAATTTTCACCTTTGTCCAACAAAATCTAATCAGTTCATCTTCCATCTGAACATTTGTGCCAAATTAGAAAAATGGTTCCTCATGGTATTCTTGAGATATCACAGTCCTGAGTATGCAACAAATTAGGTCTCAGTGACCTTTTTTTTTTTCTTTTTCTGCGTTTTGCCTTTCTTGGATATGATCGTCAAAGTGTGACGGGGATGACATGCAGCAAAGATCCATAGCCTGGAATTGAACCCACGGCTGCTGTGGCAAGTACATTGCCTTCATCCCGTATGGGATGCCTGCTCTACCCACTATGCCACCAGGCACCCTGGTCACAGTGACCTTTGATCACCAAATTCTAAATAAGTTTATCTTTGAGTGGATGTTTGTGTCAAATTGCAAAAAATTCTCTAAAGGTGTTCTTGAGATATTGCGTTCAAAAGAATGAAACAGATGTACACGCAGACAACCCCAAAAAATAAAGCCTTTGGCCTCGGCTATCGCCAAGACGGAGGCATGAAAAGCTAAATTAAGGCTAAAATGTTTATAAAATGTGATTGGTCAATACTCCTGGAACTACACAGAACTCCTGATACCAACATCCTCTCCCAGTGCCGACAGATTCTACGTACGTATGCAGGTATATGTTTATATTTCTTTAAACTTGCACCTCTTGTCTGCACTTTTGCTATTTTTCCAATGGTGATTTTTTTAAAATGTAAATCATTTAGTAATTAATTTTACCTTTTAAATCTTTTTTTTTTTTTTTTTTAATAAATTGCAGAAAATTATCTCCAAAATTGGCATGTTTTATCTAAAAATTGATAAAATGTGATGATGTGGAAAATCACCAAAATTGGGATGCCAAGTTTTCTTAAAAATCTGCAGTAAAATAAACCCAAAATACAACCATTTGAATTTGTATGCCCCTCCCCTAAACCAAAATTAAAAACATAAGTCCCTCCCCAGTGCTTAAACACATTCGTCATAGATAACCAACAGTCCCTTAGGGTTAGAGAATGCATTATATCAATGAGGCTAATTACAAGGACAAGTACAAGAATGTGTGTGTGTGTGTGTGTGTATGTGTGGGACTGACCTCTGCCGTCAGTCTTGGCGATCTTGCTGGGGTAGGTCTTGGGGAAGGGCACGTAGGGCTCAGGTGGAGGAAAGTCTGACACCGGATGGAAAGTGAAGCGACACTCCCACTCATCTGTCAGCGGAGAGAAAATGGAGGTCAGCGGGTGAGTCTCCGTCACAGCAGCAAAACTCCCATGATACACCACACATCATGTTTCTCACATTAAACAGGATTCTTTGGATTTGACAAAATGCGAGTAAAAACAAATAAAGGTTGAGGGGTTTGTAGACGTTGGGAAACAGCTGCTTTGTGATAAAAGTTTTATTTTGAGTCAGTTTGATATCAGATCCAAATGTGTCCAAATCCACTCACATTCACTGTATCTATAAAAAAGAATTCTTATGTAATAAGCTATAAATTTAAACTATGTTGACATTTTTACAGATTATTGTGACTTCAGGGAATATGATTAAACAGTCTGATTTTTCTGCAGCAGGATTTTAGGACCTCTTGTCTTTTCTTGTCCCCGCTGCCTTCCAGCTCAGCCGAACTCCCTCGGGTCAGAGGGATAAAAACAACACGAACAGGAGGTCAGTGGGTTTCTCTGCTATAGTGAACACACTGGAACTTGTGGTAAAAACAACACTGAGGGCAACAGATTTTCCCGAAGAGACAGAGAGAGTGCAGTCTTTGAAACACACAGCTGGTCCTCTATAAGGAACTATCCACCAGCAAAGTTACCACCTGCACACACAGATTTATACCATTTTACTGAATGATAGGGATTTTGTTTTCCTTAAATACAGTGTAGATAGGAGTGGAAGATATATCGAATCTACTCGTTGTATTGTGGCTTGCTCCATATGAGATATATAAAATTACTTTATCAGGGGTCACGTCATTTCTTTAACCCACCAGCATGAGACTCGCTTCAAGGTCCGGTTCACATCACTTTCTACCGATGAACAGTGCGTGAGCAGGCAAGATGTGCGTTTTCCTATCTGCAGGGCTCCAGACCCCACTATTCAGTCATGTTTTGTGACCATGGAGCACCAGTGAGACTTGCAAATACTACTAATATATGAACTGGAGAGCTGTTAGTTTGATTCCAGCTTACAGTGAATACATCATCACATTTAATACCGCCATGACAACACTTGAACCTCATGAGTTTAACGACAGTGTGAGCGGGCGAGGTGTTTATGTATCTTAAAGGGAAATTTTGGTTTATTTCAACCTGTCTCCTATCGTCCTAAATTTGTTTCAAGTGACTAAAATAATAGTTAGCATGTTAGCCGTTAGCCTAGATACAGCCGGGGCGCATAGTAGCGTCAGACCTGTTAAAACGTAAGTGAACGGGCAACCTTCAAGTGCAAAGTTAGTCCACTAAACAAGCTTTTTTCCCACAAAGACCGCCTCATATCGTTAGGATAAATGTCAGAGATCATATAGAAAACAACATGTAAGCGTGTTGTCTTACCTTACCGGTGTGCTGCCATGTTTGTTTACCATCTAGCTCTGCTTTCCAAAGCACGGCCGAAATATATCTGGCGAGCTCTAGATAAAGCCCAGCTGGATACTACTCCAGGTGGAGGTGTCTCGTCCTCGGTCACATCCAGACCTTGAAAATAAGGCTGCAACCGGTCCCATTCCTTGCAACAGAGGCATTCCTCTTCTGTGGGCACTGGGGCACAGCATTCACAGGTACACCACCAATCTCCAGAGCTACGCAGCCTTGCAGCAGCCATTCCTCCTCTCTCGTCCTCTACCTGTTGCGCCTCTCTCTCTCTCCTCCTCCGTTCTTCAATTTCACGAAGCTCTTCGTCAGTGTATTCTGGCTCAAATAAATAAGGGCGGCCATCAAACTCTGCAAAATCAAATTCCTCCTCCACAAAGTCGAAGTCTGGCAAAAAGTCAGCCATTATTCTATAAATCTTTCATAAAATAAATGAATGAACTTTTCAGGCTACTGTCCGGTTCTGCCTTCCAGCTGTTGCTGCTTGTTCTCGCGAGATTTCAGGCACGGTATGAGATCGCTGCTTGTTCTCGCGATATTTCGGCCGCGCTTTGGAAAGCAGAGCTAAATGGTAAACAAACATGGCAGCACACCGGTAAGGTAAGACAACACGTTTACATGTCGTTTTCTATATGTTCTCTGACATTTATCCTAACGATATGAGGCGGTCTTTGTGGAAAAAAAGCTTGTTTAGTGGACTAACTTTACACTTGAAGGTTGCCCGTTCACTTACATTTTAACAGGTCTGACGCTACTATGCGCCCCTGCTGTATCTAGGCTAACGGCTAACATGCTAACTATTATTTTTATGTCACTAGTCACTTGAAACAATTTTAGGATGATAGTAGACAGGTTGAAATAAACCAAAATTTCCCTTTAAGTGTTTCAGACTGCGATGGTTAAGTCACATTTTGCAACCATGGAGCACCGGTACAACTTGTGCAAATATTGTTAATACATGAACTGGAGAGCTGTTAGTTTGTTTCCTGTTTACAGTGAATAAATCATCACATTTAGAGGCACAGCAACAACTGTTTTACTTTGTGCTAACTGCTAACATCTGACTGTTGACGGGAGGCTTCAGTTCACAGCAAAAACATCAACACTTCCTGCCCGGGACGAGCCGGGTGCTTCAAAATAAAAGCACCAGTGGTTCCCCTTTGATTTTATTATAACAATACTTTATTTAACATTATTATAACAGTATTTTATTTTACTCTTTTATAACAGCAGTTTATTTAACTTAATAATTTTTGTATGTCAGTAGTCTACAGTACTTTAGAAAGAATGTCAAAATACTGCGATATATATCATGTATCATGATATAGCCTAAAAACATCACACTATCATTTTCAGGCCATATGGCCCAGCCCTAGCTGTAGATGTCCATTCTCGTCTTTGTCTCACTCCACAGGTGTAAAACAGTATTTCAGGTATTTTGCGGTGCATTAAATAAACACAGCAGCACCTGGAGGGATTCACTCACCCTGTATCTGGTTGTGGTGAGAGTTCTGGAAGCCGTTACCCATGGGTGGTTGAGGAGGAGGAGGAGGGGCCCCTCCTGTCCCCGGCCTGTCCGGAGGGAGGGGAGGTCTCCCGCCAGGTCCCCCGCGAGGAGGCTCAGGGCCTGGCCGACCAATAGGAGAAGGAGCTGGTGATGACCTCACACTGCCCCCACCTATGCTACGACCTGAGGGAGGAGGGGGAGGAAGAGGCCCTACAGAGGCAGAAATAAATAATGACGTGTTGGCTTTTACGATACTGAATATCTATGAATTGAGCCTCCGTCACAGATCCTGTGAGCCGTGTTTTCACAAAGGAGCGTCACACTGTATCTTAAACCTCTCTCATCTTTTCCACGTGCTCTGTAAGCAGCAGTAACACACTGTTCAGTAATGAATCAAAGCTGTTCACCTGTTCGTTGTGACGACTGGTTCCTTCCAAGAGATGGCGGCCTCTCGTTTGGTGGAGGAGGGAGAGGTCCTGTCCGACCGTGTGGCGGAGCTGGACCATGGCTGGCAACAAGAAACTTCATTTTAAACGATAAACACTATTTATGGTAAAAAAATAAATAAACAGAGAAGGAGCAGTTGAAGCAGATCTCACTACAGGAAGTGCCAGTCATTGTTTCTTTGCTTCCAAAATCTCATCACAGCTTTGAAGAATAAACTCTCTGTGTTAGCGACGCACGATACATATCAGCCCGATGAATTATTATTAATGGGACATTTTTATTATTATGCATTATTCCTTTAATTAAAGTTGCAGCTGATAAATAGCGCCGATAAAACAAAGCCAGACTGCTTTCACTGATTAACAAGGGCAGCATCTGCACACCTGACACAGTGAGGGCAGACCTGATGTCGGCAGGTATGAAGAGTCACAACCGTTCTTTGTGTTTGTTGTGTTAACATGAGTGATGTCAGTTTGATTTGGTTTGAGCAGTGCTGTGGAATATTACATCATTTTTTATTTTCTCACATCATCTGAGTCTTTTTCACCCTCAGGTGAACATAAACTACAGGTTATACACTTCTTTTTAAAATACAGAAATGTGAAATTATCATTAACTGTATTGGTTATCGTCATGAGAAGCAAGTAATGGTATCTGTAGTGGTTTAAAAATCCATATCGGTGCATCCACAAGTGTCATCTTTGTTAGTTAGTTATGTGTTAGTGTACATACGTGTGTGAATGTGAAGTCAGATGGAGTCGAAAAACAACTTTACCTGTGTCCAAACAACTTAAGGTTTGTAAAACTGACTGTCTTTCACAGAGAGAGGAACATTCAGCGTGTGATGCCTGACAGGAAACACTGTGCACACGTCTCGCTTTGACGCAACTCATCCGTTATTAACACGTAACAAACACAGATCAATGACACAGACAGACAGACAGAACTTGTACCTGTTGAGCGACAGGTTCCTCTGGGGCAGACGAGGGGTGCTGTGGTCGTCCCCACCAGCCAGTGTGGGTGGGAGAGGAGGGGGACCCGGTCGGCCCGGTGGGAGAGGAGGTGCACCCCCACCAACTGAGGGACGAGAGGCAGGGGAGGAGGAGACGGAGGAGGAAGGCTTGGAGTTGACAGAGGGAGGAGGCGGGGGGACATCGCGGGGCATAGATGGGCGATGACCTCCTAGTGGTGGTGGTGGGGGCCGGTCGTCAGGAAGTGGGGGCCTCCCTCCAGGAGCAGGGGGTAAGGAAGGTCGGCTGCTGTTCGGGGGTGGGGGAGGAGGTGCAGAGAATCCTGGTCTTGGTCCAGGTGAGGAGCCTCCTGGTGGTGGAGGGAGAGGTCCGTGTCTCCCTGGTGGAAGACTGGGAGGTGGAGGTCCAGAGGCCGGGCTGGGCCTGGGTGCTGAAGGGAGTGATGGCGGAGACGGACCCCCACGAGGCTGGAAGCTCTGGTTTGGTCGAGGAGTGTTGGGCACAGGAGGAGGGGGGCCTCCCGGAGTGTCTTGTCTGGAGGAGAGATTTGGCCGGCCCTTTGGGAGGTCAGGGACGTTGCCACGGCCACCAGCAGGGGCGCCTGGCAGTTTGGGCGGGCCAGCGGAGCCTCCACCGCCACCGAAGGGGCTGGGCCCACAAGAGCGGCCTCCTGGAGGGAGCACGGGCCCTCGGCTGGGTCCTGAGTCTGGAAGAAAGAAAAGGCAATGATTTAATAAAGAACATTTGAGAGGGGATGCTTTCTGTCGTTCATTATCATTATTAACCATCCATCAGCTTTAACTGCTCATTCTTGAGGGTCACAGGGGGGCTGGAGCCCTCCCGTTTGGCGCCCCCCTTTTTTTTATTCCTTTTTGTTATCACAACCTGTTTCTGACTCTGGACGGCATGTTAAAGTCCTACGTCCCTAAAAGTGTACTGGTTGGACAGGGGCACCTGTCAGGCCTGCAACAGCTGCTGGTGAACATCTGGTCTCTGTGCTGACAGTGTTACATGTGCTTAAGTTCGACGGGACGCTTTAGCAGAGGGTTGAGGGGTGCTTTGAGGGTTGGGGGGACCTGGCTTACTTTTCTCTGCCACGGTGGCATGCCCTGCTCTCTTCCAGAGGCTGTGAGCTTCCTGTTTCTCCTCACTTGGGCATCTAGGACCACGGGCTGTGTGGGGCAGGGAAGATAGCCTGCTGGGGGTCCCTGGTGTGGGCGAAGCCTACAGTCTGGCCTCGCTCCCTCCTCCTGGGTACTCTGCTGGAGTTCCAGGGTCATGAACCAAAAACGAAACCAAATTAAATGTGGCTATTCAACATGAACATGTCTGGGTTGGGAGAGAGTTTCTGCCCCGAGCAAAGGAGTTCAAGTATCCCGCAGGGTGAAATGAAGTGTGAGATGAACAGGCGTCTTTAGTGATGCAGGTGCTCTGTCAAACCTTCATGGTGAAGAGGGAGCTCCCGATTTTCCGGTGCCTCTGTCCCAACCCTCACCTATGGTCATGAGCTCTGGGTAGTGACCGAAAGAACAAGATCATAGATGCAAACACCCGAAATGAGGAGCTCAGACAACCAGAGGGAGCACGGAGTCGAGGCGCTGCTCCTCCATGTTTAAAGGGGTCAGCTGAGGTGGTTCAATATCTAGTCAGGGTCCTCCTGGGTGCCCCCCATTAGAGGTCCTCCAGGTACCTCCAGCTGGTAGGAGGCCTGGGGCAGACCCAGAGCAGAGGCAGTTTTAAAGTTGCCAGTTAACTTGACCTGCCTGTGTTTGGACTGTGGGAGGAAACTGGAGCACCCGGAGGAAACCCCCACAGGAACAGGGAGAACATGCAAACCTTAATTTAAACGATAATATTGCATTTTTTCTCACCATTTTTACCACTGCTTGCTGCAGACCTCAGTTTCGGCATCCCTCCTGCAAACAGGCCTCCTAAACCAGCAGGAGCCCCACCTCCAAAACCTCCTCCTCCTCCTCCTCCTCCTCCTCCACCACCACCACCACCGCCTCCACCTCCTCCTCCTCCTCCTTTGGGTTCTGGGAGGACAAACAACAAACATTAAAATCAGTAGGTAATTTACAGGATATATTTGGTGCTGTTTTGCTGCATGTTTGATCAAAGATGAACATTATTTCTCCCTAAATCTTACACACTGCTTCTTTAAATGTAGCTGTGTGACTTAAGTTATGTGACTAACCTGGCTACAGAGCAACTGTCCTCTGTGGGGACAGCGAAGAGGACACAATGAGTGCGGCTGTTTTAGACAGGTTAGACTTACTGTCCAGTTGAGGTCCACTGCGGTCATTGGTGACAGCCTTCTTTAATCTGGCGCCTTTACAGATGTCGGACAGCAGAGCACTCCTTCCCTGCTGCTCTGAACGGTTCAGAGTAGGCTTCTCTGTGTTGGCCTGAAACACACACACACACACACACACACACACAGTCACTGAGACGGAGTGATGCTGCAGGAAACACTCATGACTTCACTGATCTCTGTGTGCTAAATTCATTTATCTGAGAGGAGGAAACTCAGAGTCACACAGACCAAACTGGAGGAGATATGTTAGGACATGATTTATCCACAAGATGTCTCTGCTGAGCAGCTTCGAGAGGACAGCAGGTCTCACTGGACAGAGAGACAGACAGGTAGAAGGACTTACAACAGCAAAGGTGGGAGGAGGGGGAGGCCCTGGGGGTGGTGGGGGAGGAGGGGCTGGCATCTTCCTGGGTCCACTTTACTGTATCTGCACTGGACGCCGCACCCTGGAGCACAGATCACACACACACTTCATAAAACAACAGAAACATGTATTACATGATGTTTTAACAGATGATCCCCAAACTGAGGATCTGAGGTCCTTGAGAGAGTTTCAGGTCGTCCCCATAAAACCAAGAGTGAACTCAGTCTCAGCATTAATTCATTCAGAATGTGTCATGATAGCTTCAACACTTATTTGTGCACTAAACATGAGCATAATTAACAGTTTGAGGCAAGAAGAAAAAACACAGCTGAATGCAGCTGGAGCCGATGATACAATGCTGCAGGTGCTTATTTTATTTCTGGACATTTTAATGATATTTAACATTTTTCAGACATTTCATCAATATTATTTTGTCCATTTTAATAATATTTTTCAGACATTTGCAATAAGATTTTTTTTTTTTTCTCACATATAATCAACTTTTTTTCTGGACATTTTATCAACATTTTTCCAAACATTGTATTAACTTCTTTCCTACATTTTAAAAGTATTTTTCAGACATTTCATCAACATTCTAAGCCCTCCACATGCCTGCTGGACCCTATCCCCACAACCTTGGTCAAATCCTGCCTCTCCTCTCTGCTTCCCCTCATTTCTGCCATTATCCACTCTTCACTGTCCACCGGTATTGTCCCTTCAGCTTTCAAAACTGCTGCTGTCACCCCTATCCTGAAAAGACCTGGTTCAGATCCCAACGACTTCAATAATCTCCGCCCTATCTCCAACTTACCTTTCATCTCCAAAATTCTTGAAAAAATAGTCTCCTCCCAACTTCACGCACATCTCACTCTAAACAGTCTGTATGAACCCTTCCAGTCTGGTTTCCGTCCACGTCACAGCACTGAAACTGCACTTATCAAAATCACCAATGATCTCCTCACTGCAGCTGACACCGGTTCACTCTCCATTCTCATCCTCCTCGACCTGAGTGCGGCCTTTGACACCATCTCACACCCCATCCTCCTCAGCAGACTCTCCTCAATTGGCATCACCCACACCCCCTTCACTGGTTCCATTCTTATCTCACAGACCGCACTCAGTTCATACAGCTTAAATCTTTCTCCTCTGACCCTTCCCCAGTCATCACAGGTGTGCCCCAGGGCTCTGTCCTGGGGCCCCTCCTCTTCATAACCTACCTCCTCCCCCTCGGCCATATCTTCCGCAAATTTAACATTAATTTCCACTGCTTCGCGGATGACACCCAGCTCTACCTCTCTTGCAAACCTAACTCCACACTCCCACCCCCCTCCCTCACATCCTGTCTTTCTGAAATAAAATCATGGTTCACCTCTAACTTTCTAAAATTAAACAGCAATAAAACTGAATTCCTACTCATTGGCACCAAATCCACCCTATCTAAAGCTGACACCTTCTCTCTCTCCATCGACAGCTCCTTAGTCTCCCCCTCCCCTCAGGTTAAGAGTCTGGGTGTCATCCTCGACAGCACACTATCCTTTCAATTTCTCACATTAATAGAATCACCCGGTCTGCTTATTTCCACCTGCGCTCCATCAATCGTCTCCGCCCCTCCCTCACCCCCCACACCACCGCTATCCTCGTCCATAGCCTTGTCACCTCCCGCCTTGACTATTGTAATTCACTCCTCTTCGGCCTCCCTCAAAAGTCCCTCCATAAACTTCAGCTGGTTCAGAACTCTGCTGCCCAGATCATCACCAAAACCCCCTCTTCCCACCACATCACCCCCGTCCTTCAGCAACTCCACTGGCTCCCGGTTAATCAAAGAATCACTTACAAAATCCTTCTGTACACCTACAAGTCTATCCATAACCTC